GAACCTTAATGAGTCTTTTATATGAAAACAGTTCCTAGCTGCCCTTTAAAAATTTTTCTTTGCTACATTTACTCCTGTATTTGACTCCAATTCAAGTTGTTTAGAACAGGAAAACCATGTGCTGGCAATCGAGAACAGAGGAACACCTGTGACCCCTGAAGTAGTAGTATTAGGCAATGGTTCTCAAACTTTAGCAGGCATAAGGATCACCTGGAGCGCTTGGTAAACAGATTCCTGTATCATGTGGTGGGCAGACCTCCCCCCGGCCCCAGCCTTATAGGCATTTGAGTTTGTAATGCCTTCTTTAAACAGTTTAAAAAGTAGTGCATGGGCCGGTCCCGTGGCTTAAGTGGTTAAGTGAGCGCGCTCCGCTGCTGGCGACCTGGGTTCGGATTCCGGCCTCGCACCGACGCGCCGCTTCTCCGGCCATGCTGGGGCCGCGTCCCACGTGCAGCAACTGGAAGGATGTGCAGCTATGACACACAACTATCTACTGGGGCTTTGGGGGGAAAAAATAAATAAATAAAATCTTAAAAAAAAAAAAAAAGTAGTGCATTATTTTCAAGCTGGAAAATCTAACCTAGATAAAATTTAGTAATTTAATGGTAATTTCATTTTTGTTTCGGTTCCATACTTTGTATTTCTTTTGGTCAGTCAGAACTGTTTTGTGGGCAAAGTTGAGAGCAGTAGATTGCATTTCTTTAATGAGAGGATCTAGTTTTAAAATTCAGGACTACATACATACACTGACTTTGAGGCTATGTATGTCAAATGTTAAATAAAACAAACAGCTAATTTGTTTGTTTTGTTTTTAAATCAGGGATTAGGTTGAAATTAGCGAGGAAGTAACAAATATTGTAGAGGTTCCTGGATTGTCATTTTAAGAGTTGACCACAGGGGCTGGCCTGGTGGCGGAGCGGTTAAGTTTGCGCTTCCGCTTTGGTGGCCCGGGGTTCGTGGGTTCAGATCCTGGGCACGGACCTATGCACTGCTCTCAAGCCATGTTGAAGTGGAGTCCCGCGTAGAAGAACTAGAAGGATGTACAGCTACGACGTACATCTATCCACTGGGGCTTTGGGGAGGAGAAAAAAGGGAAAAGAGGAAGATTGGCAACAGATGTTAGTGCAGGGCCACTCTTACTCAAAAAAAAAGAAAAAAAATGCATTAAGGGGGGAAAAAAAGAGTTGACCACAGATTGGTATGAAAAACCTTCCTGATCTTTGGCTCAGAGTATATACCAACTAGTGCTCATTCTTCAGACTACCTCCAGCTCTGCAGATGCTTGTCTCTGTTCTGCTATTTTGCTACTATGGCAAAGATTGGCTGGTCTCCTGAGAAGAAAATTATGTTAGCTAGTGTCTTAGTCTGTTCAGGCTGCTATAACAGAACACCATAGACTGGGTGGCTTTTTTATGTCTCACAATTCTGGAGGCTGGGAAGATCAAGATTAAGGTACTGGCAGATTCGGAGTCTGGTGAGAGCCTGCCTCCTGGTTCATAGAAGGCCATCTTCTCACTGTGTCCTCACATGGCGGAAGGGGTGAGGGAGCTCTCTGGAGGCACTGATCCCCCTCATGAGGACTCCACCCCGTGACCTAATCACCTCCCAAAGGCTCTACCTCATAATACCACCACACTGGGGGTTAAGATTTCAACATATGAATCTTGGACACAAACATTCAGTCCATAACAGCTATAATGTATAGTCACCTGAATTAGCAAAATATATGTGGAAATAGATGTATATTATATACGTGTGGAAGTAGATAAAGCTTTTTTTGGATGTGGAAATAGGCTTTAAGATTCTCTACTGTGATTCATGCCTTTTTCATTTTGGTTTTAAAGTCTCTTTTCAAAGATATTTAAAAGCAGAGCATAAAAAAAAAATACCATGTGAAAGACACCTGAGAGGCACTAGAAATCACTGCTTCTGTAGTGGGACTTCGTTCTGTACTTCCAGCCGCAGGACTTCACATTTTAGGTTCTTTTCCCCCTTCGTGTCTTTGACTTGGTGATGTGCTAACGTGTGAAGCCTGTGCTTGAGAAATAGTCATGCTCCCCCACTGCAGCCACAGGGTGTAATTCATTGAACAGAGTGAGCATCGAGGAGCCCATGGGATTGGTGTGTTAATTCTTGGCTTTCCGGTAGTTGGAGTTTTCTTTCTGAGCATATCACTTACCTTCTTTAAGAGTCAACTTCTGGTGTAGAGCAGGTGTATGAGGTGGTTTAGGTGATACATCTATAGGGAGGTTTAATAACCTAGAATCACATAGTGAAAAAGTTATTTCTTTTTCAGTTATTTTCAATTTTTTTTCCAGTTTTTTTAATCCTTCTGAAAGCAGAATGGTAGTATTTTGGAGCTAATGTGTAACACTGCTCAACATCTGCCCATCTCCCTTTTTCTTAAGGAAAGAAAGCAAGCTTCAGGCTCAGGACCTTTAAAGGCGGTAGGACTTAGCTAGAATTTAATAACATTGTCTTTATATCTGTATTGCTTTCTGTTTAATGGCCGATGACACTGCTTTTCTATTTTTGATCAATTCCTTTTTTTTTTAAGCCCAAGTAGTTTTAATTAAGCACAAGGGGTGATTCTAGGAAGCACCTGCAGGGAAGAGGAGACGTGAGACAGAGGCAATAAGGAAGCTAGTGAAGAAGTCACCCCTGTGGTCACCTGGAGCATGATTCCAGTGGGGAACTGTGGGAGACAGTGTAGCACACGTGCCTCAGCCTTATCTCACCCGAGAGTAAAGGGAGATACCAGGGTATTGACACCAAATTCTCATTAGTCATTACCTGGAGGCGGCTTCCTGGGGGTGTTAATTGTCCAGAACTTCCAACTTGCCCGTCCTTTAGGCAGAGCAGCTCTGACAGCCAGAGGGAACACTGAGGCCAATAATGGTAGATGTTGACAGTGGCCTTTTTGGACAGAGTAAGTGGATGGGGTACCAACAGTTTCTGCTACACTTCCAAACATGCTAAGCTTCTCCTACATCTTCCTCATCTTATTAAACAGCAACCCCAACTTTGGTGCTCAGGCCAGAAACTTTGGAGTCCTCCTTGACCCTTCTCTCACATCTCACCTCCAAACCATTAGCAAATCTTGTTGGCTCTCCCTTAAAGTATATTCAGAATCTGACCTCTCCTCTCGCCCTCAGTGCCACCACCTGGTTCAACCCCCCGGCATCTCACGGCCTCCTAACTTAGATAATGCCTAACGCAGCCTCTACAATGATCCATAGAAAACTTAAATCAGATCATGTCATTTCTCTGCTCAAAACCCTCCAGAAGCCCCTCTCTTACTCAGAGTAAAAGCTCAAGTCTTTACAATGGCCCATAAGGCCCTCCTCGACCTGGCCTCCTCCTGCCTTTTGGGTGTGTATGCGTGCACGTGTGTGTACACTTCTTTTTGTTTTTAGCCGTATATGTGGTCAAATGTTCCTTTCTTCCCCATTCCCTTTAGTGCAGGTTATGTGATTCATTTGCAAATTAGATTCATTTGTCTCAGTTTGCATTCCATCTTTACCACTACATTCTGGTTGATTTTTTTTTTTTAAATTTTCATACAGTAAATTTGCTTTTTTGGTGTATAGTTCTGTTGGTTTTGACAAATGCATGGCATGGTGTATCTACTCCCACAGCTCTGTACAAAACTGTTCATTGTCCTAAAAATTCCCCCGTGCTGTACGTTTGTAGACTGTCCTCCCCACCTTCCAGCCCCTGGCAACCACTGATCTGTGTTCCTCCCCATAGTTTTGCCTTTATTGGTGTCATATAAGTGAGAATCTTACAATGTGTAGCCTTTTTGGTCTGATTCTTCCACTTAGCAAAATGCATTTAAGATTATTCCATGTTGTGTAAACAATGGTTCATTCCTCCAGTGTCCTTTAAAATAAATTTATTTAAATTGTTCAGTATTTTCTTTAAAAGTGATTTGATTTAAAGAAAATACTGAACAAAAATGATAGAGGTGATACATAGATATGAGAAACATCTTGAACCCAAATTACTAAGATTTGGAAATCAGTAATGTGATAGAAAGATGCTAGGTAAAGGCTTTGCTTTACTTGGTACCTCTGCTGGTAATTAGCCATGTACTCTTGGGGAAGTCAACCCTTTGTTCCCCAGTTTCTGGTAAAATAAACAGTAAAATACCTGATCTAGTAGTTGTTAGGCCCATCATGGTTCATAAGACATAAGACGTATCTTAGGTGCTTCGGGTAGCTCTTTTTAACATTAGCATTTCATTCTTGTGAAGCACCTGTCACCCCTGGATTTCCGAGTTGTTAGGACCAGCTGTTATAAATACTTTATTAACCCTATAGTGAAGGAATAGGAGCCAGCCATGAGGAATGACGTAAGCCTTCAATGTAAGGCTCCAGTTCATCGACATTTTTTCTGTTGGGCTTATCTAAAGTGTAAGATAGTGAGAGCCTTAGAGCTGTAGTAATGTCCAGGAGGTACTGGTGCTGCCATAAATCTCTGCAAGTTTCTAGCAACCTCTTTTGTTACTGTAGCATTTGAACTTTAATCCCCACAGTTTTATCCTTAGGTAGATTTTCCCAGGGGTATCTATAAAGATTGATTGTTGGAAGTCATAGTTTCCCAGAACTTTATTGTGGTTCACGGATAGGCCATCTTGTCACATCATTGACAATGTGTATTTGAGGGTCAGTGCATGTTTGAGAACGCTCCACTGAAAGCTTACAGAATCCAGGAAAGGAAACCGGTGTATTTGCTTGTTTTGTTTTATTTTTATTTTTAAAGATGGACAGATTCATAGTAATTCCTTTTTAAATCTTAATTAACGGCTGCTTAAAATTCCTGACCAGGTTGCTTTTTTAAAAATTGGAAATGGGATAGTGATTGAGTTGTATTTAGGTGATAGAGTCTCAATGTGAAATCGGAGAGTAAGTGAGAGGAGTTTGAGTGCAACATTGCTGTGATTTGTGTTTGTTTTACATGTGGCACATAGTAATATTAATTTTACTTTTTACTTTTAGTAATGAATGTTATAACTATTGAAGATTATAAGAGCACATACTGGCCAAAATTGGATGGTGCCATAGATCAGCTTTTAACTCAGAGTCCTGGTGACTATATCCCCATATCCTATGAACAGATATACAGGTAAGTCAAGATTTAATTTGCCTGGGTTTGAGAAGGTAAATTGAGGTTCACGGCAACTTGAATTATGATAGTATGTATGTATATGATATATAATACATAAGATGAGGCTCTGTAAGTTATTTGTATGTTACACACTTGTGGATTGGAGATTGCCTTTATACTTTTTGCTTCAGAATTGGTTTTCAAATCAAGATAGTGTTAACCCCACTCGATTAGACTTCTCTCTCCTCAGCCTGCCACCCCCACCATACATAATGCAGAAATTATGGAGGTCAGTGAAAAAGGCGAGAAAATATGTATTTTTAGTCTCACAGGAAGGCTCTAGCTTAATCTGTTGATGTTTATTGACATAGTTCTATCTTTGGTTATTTTGTTTCCCAGCTCCTGGTAAATGGAAGCAGCGAATTAGTGAGGAACTGGGTTGGGATATGAGATCAGCCTGGTCACAAGAGGAGGAAGTGACAGCTGTGTTGTTCCTTCCACACAAGTGATGCATAAAGGGATTACATTGCAAATGTTTTTGTGAGAAACTTTCTGCTAATTTTCACTCTCTCTTCCTTATTTTGACATCCATTAAAATGAGAGTGAGAGAGAAGCTGGTTTATAAGTGGTTATCATAGTCAGACTCTCAGATTATTACCCAATATTAGATTATCTAGTACTGATAAAATGTGTAATAGAGTACTCAAAAAGCTTATTTGTAACTGGTAGTAATGTCTCTTCCATCTGAACACTGATTGGGGCAGGATACATTTTTTATTTAAAAGTTCTGATTGGTCACTTTTTTTTAGGCCTGAATGAATTATTTGGCCAGTGGCTGTATGCTTTAACCTTAGGTTGAATTAAGTGCTTCATTGTTAACTTGTTTTTTCTGTTTTTTTTTCCCCCCACAGTTGTGTGTATAAATGTGTGTGCCAGCAGCACTCGGAACAGATGTATAGTGATCTGATTAAAAAGATAACTAATCACCTAGAGAGAGTCTCAAAGGAGCTGCAGGTAAGGAACTGATTGTACTGATTTTTGCTTCTTTGGGATTTTCTAACTGATTAGAATTAGTCTGTATGATATACATTTGGAGGGTTGTTAATTTGCTTATGATATAAATTTATAAATATTTTCTAGATGAATATTGACCAAGTCATCTAATCTTTGGAATAGATTGTTAATTTGAAAACTTGGCGTAAATTGTAGAATTTTTTTTTTTTTTTTTTTTTTTGCTGAGGAAGATTTGCCCTGGGCTAACATCTGCTGTCTATCTTCCTCTTGTTTTGCTTGAGGAAGGTTAGCCTTGAGCTAACATCTGTGACAGTCTTCCTCTGTTCTGTATGTGGGATGCCGCCACAGCATGGCTGATGAGTGATGTAGCTCTGCGCCCGGGATCCGAACCTGCGAACCGCGGGCCGCTGAAGCGGAGCGCGTGGAACTTGAACCACTTGGCTGTGGGGCTGATGATCCCTGGAAATTTTTAGATAGAATTTATTTTAGACTTTTAACTGATTCCATTTATTACCATGTCAACATTTCTTTTATTTCAAACTTTTTTTTTCTGTTAAGCTTCAGTATTTGGTGACTTTTATTATATAAACGTGTATATTTTAATTTTTTTCTGGAACTTTTTTTAAAATTATCTTTGAATTGTGGTTTGTCTACCAGTTTCTAATAGTTGCTAATATAAGCGTCTGAAGTCAGCATTTTGTTGATAATCCCTCTGTAGATGAACATCATCCCAACTGTAGAATCTGGGGCCTAAGTTTTGGGAAATGTTCTATGTGAGGAAGCACTTGGCCTCTTGCTCCCCACCCCGCCCCTCCCACCTCAGCAGAGTTTCCAGTGCTTGAAGGTCAGGTGCTATCTTTATGCCAGGGCCAGATTGAATTTTAGTTCTGGTGTAGAAGTTACACGATGTGTAGAAAGGGCACTCAGCAATAGATCACCAGGGTCCACCCACAATCACGAAGTGCTCCAGCAGTTCTGAAATATCCACAGTTTCTAGCAAGTGCTGGGGTGTGTTTTGGATATCGTTCCTCACTAACTTTGTGGGCCGAAGTATCTTAGTCTTGTTTACCCCAAACAGTTGTGGCACTAAGTAGCTTTTTTTTTCTTTTTTTTAATTATAGCCAGAGCTATGTTTATCATAGCTAAATATGTACTTTTCCTGTTGTTAGCGTAAATTGTTTTCTTCATCTTTTTGCCACTAAATACAAAATCTTTATTCATTTAACGAGTATGTTTAGTGCCTAGGCATTGTGTATAAATTGTAGATGAAACTTAAGATCTGTGCATTATAGCTTTGAATGATTTGCTTACTAATTCTTGATTCTACCCTCTCCATGAATTTCCACATCCAATTTATTACCAAATCCTATTTACTTCCTCTTTCTCTCTTGGCTTTTATCCACTTCTGTTTAGTAGCCACTGCTCAGTCCAGGCCACCATGGTCTGCAGTGTTTTAATGAAATGCTCATCTTGGCTTGTTGTTCTGCCTGTAGTCTTAACACCTCTAACTTATTCTTGCATTTCAGTCAGAGTGACTGTTTCTGAAGCACAAATCTGATTATCATATTCCTGTTAGAATAAAGTCTAAACTTCTTAATGTGGTTTAGGAACCCTTTTGTTATCTGACTCCTGCTTATTTCTATGTCCTGATATCTTACCTCTCTGCTCCTGCATACTGAACTTATTTTAGTTCCTTGGACATTTTGTGTACTGTCTCACCTCTTGACTTTTGCTGTGATAACTTGACCACCTGCAACATGCTTCCTTTTCCTCTGCCCTCTTATATTTTTGGTCAATGTGAACTTAACATTTAGGCTGCGGCTTAGGCATCATTTGTTTTGGGAAGCATTCTCTGATACCTTGTTCCCCCAAGTCTGGGTTTGGGGGCCCTTCATCTGTGCTTCTGTAACACCCAGTACATTATCGTAGTTCATTATGTATTATAATTTCTTGTTTAGCTGTTCCCCTTCCCCACAACCCCTGCCCCACACTGTGTTCTGAGAGGGCAGAGGGTCTTTGGGGTGCAGGGAGTACCAGAGATTTCATTAGATCAACAAAGAACTCAGTGACCTCAAAAAGGATTGTTTTGCTATTATTGAAATAATGCTCAATGTTCTTCTAAAACAGAAAGCAAACCATTTCAGTTCAAATTGTAAATACAAAATATATTTCTTGTCTTGCTTATAAAAATGATCTAGGAGCCAGCCCGTGGCGTAGCGGTTAAGTGCGTGCGCTCCGCTGCTGGCAGCCTAGGTTTGGATCCCGGGTGTGCATCGATGCACCGCTTGTCAGGCCATGCTGTGGCGGTGTCCCATGTAAAGTGGAGGAAGATGGGCACGGATGTTAGCCCAGGGCCAGTCTTCCTCAGCTAAAAAAGAGGAGGATTGGCATGGATGTTAGCTCAGGGCTGATCTTCCTCACACACACACAAAAAAATTATCTACGAAATGTGAATTAGAAATGTTATAATATGTATTACACTTGTGCTCTGCCTTCACATGTAGATCATTAATTTGACTGATAGAATTGTGATTTGCTAAATTCATTGTCATATTGCAATTTCTGCTTGTGTAGATTTTTCTTGTATTTAGTTTTGTAAGCACTGTAAGAGCTCTTTTCATTCTTACAGTTAGGATATTATCATAAAATATTTTTAAAGTTAGAGGGCACTATAGTACTGTATTATCAAGCTCAGTCTAATTGGTAGTTTTGGAAGGCCACTTGGCTGCATTTTCTGGCATGAGTTTGCTTGACCAATTATCAGTAATGTGAGGGTACCTGTTACTTGCCCAGGCTGGGCTGCACAGGGTACTAATACTTGGAGTCACTGAGGTGCAGAGAGTAAGTTTGAGGTTTTGGAGAGTGGTCTCTGTCAGTGTATAGAGCTCCTTTATTCGTTATCATGAATGCATAATAGTTCACTGTACCTTACTTCACTGATGTACCTTAATTTATTTAACCATTTTTTGACTGGTGAATATTTAGGTTGCGTCCAATCTTTGGCTGTTACTAACAGTGCTACAGTGAATAATCAGTCTTGTGAGTAATGTCATTTACTACGTCCATGTTGTGGTTCACAAAAGTTGTACCACCTTACATTCCCACCAGTTCTGTATGTATCTGAGTGCTTGTTTCCTCTCATCCTTACTAATATAGTGTATTAGAAGACTAAAGAATTTTTGCGAGGCTGGCCTGGTGGCGTAGCAGTTACGTTTGTGCATTCAGCTTTGGTGGCCTGGGCTTCACGGGTTCGGATTCTGGGCATGGATCTGCTCACCGCTCATCAAGCCGTGCTGAGGTGGCATCCCACATAGAGGAACTAGAAGGACCTACAACTAGGATATACAACTATGTACTAGGGCTTTGGTGATAAAAAAAAAAAGGAAAAAGAGGAGGAGTGGCAACAGGTGTTAGCTCAGGGCCAATCTTCCTCAAAAAAGAAGAAAAAAAACTTGCAATCAATATTCAAAGTTGGATTTGGAAAAAAAAAGAATTTTTGCTTTATCTTAGTATAGGGATAATTCTTTTAAAAATTAAAACATAAATAAGGATGATATCTCTTTTGATGTTAGTATTTAAAAAAACCATATCGATAGATGTAAAGGTAATATATAAAAGCAGGGAGTTTAGTTTATTTTTAGAATCAATACATGTCCTACTTTGAGTTCAGCAGTATGGGCGTATAAAAAAAAATCTCACTCTGAAAAGATCTCTCTTGTAGGATGGTAAAGTCTAACCATTGTTAAATCGCAGGGTGGAGTTGGTAAAAATAAGGGAACCTGGACCTGGTCTCAGCTCTGCCGCACCAGCTTCTTGATGAAACATGCTACTACCATCTTGTAAATTTTCTCCATATTAAAATGAAGTGGCTTTACTAAAATATCTCATTCCTTTAAGTTAAATTCTAAGATATTTTTTCTTCTGCTTCCAGCGTGGCAAATGCTTCTTCATTCTTTTCTCAGGCTTAAACTCATTTGTGGCCACCTGTGTAAAATCTTCCTGGCATCCTCGAACTCCCCTCAAAACAAAACAGACCACTGGAATTCCTTCTGTATACTCATTGCATCTTGGCAATAACAACTCTGTTAGAGCAGTGATTGTGTTATATTGTTTCTGCTTCCATGTCTGGCCACTTCGCAGGTCCTCCTTTGAGGGCAGGGACTCTGTCTTGCTTGTCTTTTTATCCTTAGTGCCTGCGACAATTACAACTCAGCAAATGCTTGTTGAGTGAATGCTCAGTAACTAAATTTGACCTATACCAGCGGGACGAGTAGCATAATTAGCCTCGTATGACCACTAATCTTTGTTATCTAGACGCTTAGGCATTTTATTAATTTATTCAGTGTTCAATTAATTCAGTTTATACAAGTGTGTGGCGTAATCCTGGTGTGATGTCTACTTTATAGAGACTTTAAAGGCAGTTTTCTTGAGGGACAGAATGAGAGTATATGCCAGGCCCGATGAGCCAGAACAGTTTTATTTGGGTCTGTTTTGTTGGCAGCTCTGATTTTAGTAATGAAATATTGTTATTATGAGCTAAAGCAAGAATGTGGGATGAGTTGCATTTTGTATATAATCAGAAATTTAGTGTTGGGGTTGATAAATCAATGAGTTGGACCTTCAGGGCATCAGCCTTTATCTTTCAAGGGCATCGTGAAATAGCTTCTGGTTTGTGTAGTTTACATATCAGAGTGACTTATTTAGCTCTATTAAAAGGCATATCCTGGTGAGGAGACTGAAGAGTATATGAAATAATGTTCCATATTCCCCAGTTATTCACTTAAAAGCTAGAGAATACTGTTTTCAGAGATTTTAAAAGCTTATTTTAAATTTTTGAACCTAAATGTTTTTATATAACAACATAATCTAACTTGCTGCCCCTTTAAAATAAAACATTATTTCTTTTATTTTGGAAACAGTGACTTTTCCACTACAGTAACTTTAAAAAGTTTTTTTGTTGTTAAATTAATAAAACCACTTAATAGCTAAACTCAGTATTC